CACATCTATATAAATAGGTTATTGAATGAGTGTTCTTGTTTTAATTTAAAAAGTAGTATTTATTTATTGAAAGGATCTTGATGTAGAATGTTATTATAGTATGTTCTTTAACGAAACCCGTAATTATATGTGTGAATAGTTAGGATGTTAAGTGTAGTGTTCCCCATTTTTGTGTAGATTCATCAAGGGAGGCAGGAGTTCCCACTCCTGCAGTAAAAGTGCTTTGACAAACTGTCTCATTGATCTTCTGGAAAAGGGGAGTTTGTGGGAGATGGAAAGAAATTCAGGGTTGCTCCGAGAGGAGGAGGTGGTACTGCTTCACTGTAGCATGTTTTAAAAATTGTGATTATAGTTTGGGGTTGTCTTTCGTTTCTTTCTAGTCTTTCTTAATCTCCTCCCCCATAACTCTGACGGAAAGTCCCTCTTTCCTCCAGGACTGTGAATTAAGGAATGGGTAGGGTTTACATTTAAGCACGCCAGTGTCTACCCAGCTTCTTAATTATACATTTGTTTTCCTTTTTAATTAGTCTTTGTTCTTAAAATACTAGAAGAAAACATCTAGTGCCTTTGAACTCATACTGTAGTCTTCTGATTTAAATGATGAATAACTTCCTAGAACCACTGTACTGCTGCGTACCAGCCAAACGACAGACCGGACAGTGAGTTGTTGCGTGAGTGAAAAGCCGCACTTCGATCGTACTTCATGTGTAAATTGTACTTGTTTAGGTTGGATGTATCAGCCCTGTATGTATACATGTAGCATGGTTAAGTATGAAATAAAACCCTTTTCTCTAACGCCCGTGGCGGTCTTCTTTTCTGAACTTGCGTTGTATTTACTCCCGTCCTGGTGTTGTGCGCAGGGTCTTTGTGTGGGGGCTCTCAGTTCTCTGTGGTTAGGGGAGGCCCGTGTGATTTCACAAGCTCTTTTTGATTTTTGATTTTGGGGGGCAGCCCTGGAGATTGAACCCAAGACCTTCACTATGTCCCCAGTTCTTTTTAAATTTTTTTCGTATTTTGTGACAGGGTCTTAATTAGATCACTACATTGCCCAGGCTAGACCAAAGTTGTGACCCTCCTGCCTGAACTTCCCAGGGAGCTGGGAATACAGGTGTGTGCCATAGCATCCCACCCAGAAATATGCTTATCCAGGTTCTGTTATCCTCCTAATTAAGCATCTGAGACGAGAAACCAATTCTCAGTTTGTATCTTAAGTTTATATGCAGAATGTGTGCCTTTGAAAGATACGAGGTAAGAGTATCGTGGTCTCATTCAGAAACTCTTCACAAACTTAGAGAATCTCCACAACAGTGACTCTGCTGTGTACTGGCCAAACTACAGACCCTGCTGCATTAATTTCAAAAGCCGCACTTTGATCGTGCTTCCTGCATAAATTGTACTTGTTTAAGTTGGATATATCCGTGTCCAACTTACTGTCAGGCATGTGTTTTGTTTGTTTGCTCTCTTTGACAAAGGTTATCGAGGACTGTGCGAGGCAGCCGTAAGAACTTCGCAGTGAGCCTTGAGAAGTGTTGATTTGTAGATTAGTTTTTTGAAGTATGCTTTTTACATAGAGAAGACAGTCCTCTGGCTGTGCTGGGGTTTGCCGTTTCTTCTTCCAGGTGCCTCCTATAATACTTCTACGCACGTGTAGGCCGTGACAGTACAATTAAGGGCCTGCCACACCTCAGCAGGGGTGAGCGGGGCGCCCCGTGTCCCTCCGCAGCTGAGTTTGGGAGCCATGACACCCGCTTGTTCATGCAGCACCACGAACACGGTCTTCCCGGAGCACGCTGTCCTGTCACCTCAGGAAGCCCCTTGCACGGGGACCGCCTAGCGCCCTCGTGGATGACGAGAACTAGGAAAGGAAGGTGCTTTTCACTGGGCTTCGGCTTGTAGAACTGTAAGATCTGGAGGCCGCCTTACCCACATTCTGATTGACTCCAGGGCCCTTGTTCTTAGTCCCTTTCTTCTTCCGGTCCTAATAATATTGTTGCTATTTTCTGGCCTAATCTTTATCAGTAAATCACTTTGATCTCAACTTTGAAACAAAGTAGCATCCAAGTGAGCGCGGCTTCACAGGCACCGGTGACAGCTCTGCAGCCGCTGCCGAAGCCGAAAGCCCGCCAGAGGGGTCTCCAAACACGGTAGGCACGATACTAGCTGCATTTCTTGCTGTTCAGCCGTTCCATTTGCAAAGCAAATCAGGTATGTGGTCTTCCTTCGGAAGCAGAACAACTGTGTGGGAAAATGATTACGAAGAGGCTACTTCAAAAAGAACCTGTTTCCTCTCAGCGTTTATCTTGGGCTTCCTGTGACCAATCTTCACGTTACTTTTATCGGCGTTATCAGAACATCAGGTTGTCTTACCCAACTCGCTTATGACTCTGCTGCAGAGGGTGACAGATCAGACGTTCTTCCACACCTGCTCCCCTCCCCCACCCCTCTCTGGAGGGCTGGGGAAATTTTAGTTTGTAATCAAAGGCTTTATTTCTCCAATTGTACAAAAGACTTCAGCTGGGACTTTACAACTGAATAAAATATTCCTCAGGGTCAATACCAGTTTTAGCAAGAGGATATTGCCTAACCCAACATAAAAGCACCAGAGTGCCATTACAGAGGCTTCACGGTGGCCCTGATTGCTGCTCACATGAGCTGTGCCAGAGTCACCGGGTGTCCTCCTCCATGTCTCCTGCTGCAGCCCGTGACAGCATCCGTGCACATCCCTGCCCGCTGCGTGCCCGCCCTGTGCTTGGCGGAGGGGCCCGTGGACACGAACGGCCCTGCAGGGAGGGCTGGCTCCGCGCATGGAGGGCCGTGGTGGAGGAGGAGGGGGCGCTGCGGGCATGGCACCCTGCCCTCACCGTGTGCCTGCTCCCCGCGGGGGTGCTGTGAGGGCTGAGCAGATCCGCAGTGGGGGCAGTGCGCGGGCGCTGTGGTGCCAGAGCTGAAGGGGCCAGTGGGAGGGAGTCAGGCGAACCCCAGGAGAGCAGCTGCGTGCCCAGGTGGTCGTGAGCCGGAGCCGCGCTCCTCCGCGCTCTCGGAGCCCGGCGCCTCGGGGGCAGAGCTCTCGCCCCTCCCTGCCTGCTCTTACCCCAGGCCTGTGTGCCCGCCCAGCCGAGCGCGACGGGCTGTGCGCTGGTTTCAAGCACTTTTTATAACGCGCACTCTCTGCAGAAGTGGGACCCCTCTGGTCATTCTCGGCTTGCTGTCTTGACAGAACATCGAAACACACCTTGGTTTAACAGCGGCTAACGGGGCGCAGAGGAACAGCGTGAAAGTGACGGGAAGGGCGAGTCAGACAAGATGCGTTCCAGAGCGCCGAGGCGAGAATGGGCGCTCCGGGCAAAACCAGGGTGCAGGAGAGCGGGGCATGACACCGCTGGGGCTGGGGCTTCACCCTGGCGCCTGAGAATGGCGCCCCAACTGGACCAGATAAGTTGCACCCGGAAAGAGCGAGCCATCAGCCCAGGACGAGAGAACGCGCCTGCCTTGCCCAGGAAGAAGCGAGTAGGCCCTGGGAGGCCAGCCGTGTGGGGACGACGGCCCGGCCGGGCCTCGCGCGGGAAGGTGCCCATTGTACGAGAGCTGGTCCTCACGCGACGGACGCCAGACAGCTGAGGGGATGGCTTGGGCAGCGGCGAGGGCGGGGAGCCTGGGGTCAGGGCCGGGGCCATGGACAGAAGGGTGCCGAGGAAACAGGGCTGTCGTCAGAGGCCAGCACCTTCAGTTATGGCCCAAGAATGCTTCGAGGAAAGACAGCGGAAGATTTGAGCCCAGGGGGTTTTTCCCATTCGATTACTTGACACTCCTGACGGGCCCTGGAGCCGTCTGTCCACTGGCCCGGGGTGGGGTGGCTGAGAGTCGAGGGGCGCTCAGCCTCGGCCGTGGACGCCACACGGTCCAGGCCCCGGGTGAGAGGCCCGGCCCACCCGGCAGGCGCCGGCTGCTGAGCGGCCCCAACACTCCCTGGCCTGGCGGGTTTCCTGACTTTCGCTAAAACCTGGCGTTTCTTCACTCACTTTTTAAGAATGTGACCTCTATTCCCGTGCTGGCATTGTCTTGAAAATTTGAAGGCTTACTGGGGGGTGTTAAACCCGGAGTTTGGGACCCCTGTCAGGAGGCTAGGAATGTTAGTTGCGTGTTGACCACTGAAACTTCCCTGGGGGCCGCACAGGTCCTGCTGTGGCCTCTTCTAACTCTTCCTTTTGACGCCTTTTCCTCCGTCATGCTGGCCTCAGACCAGAGTGCAACGCACAGTTCTTACCCCGTGGCGGACTACAGCTCACATCAGCCATTGAATGCAAATAAGGCTCCATCAAAGGAGGAAGGAAATTAAGACGCTCTCCGACTGGCGTCAGAAACCTGCATGGCTCTCCTCGGTGCTGTTGCCCTTGGCATGCCGATATTTTATGTGGGCAGGGTGAAACTGGCTGTGGTCAGGGTGAGAGACTTTAAGCTTTTGATTTTTTTCCCCTTATTTTGAAAGGGTTAAAAAGATGTTATATATTTTGGTGTAATTTTAGTACTAGTATTAATTTTTGTCACATGTGTAAGCGGGGATGAAAAGTGCTCAATCACTGTTACCAGCTGCATGTTCTTGCGTGTCATTCGTGTCTTCCTGTCCTAAGAGCCAAATTGCGGTGACCCTGGGTTTTGTCCTTCTCGTTAATTTCTCGTAAATAACGGCTTTATGGAGATGGAATTCCCAGACCACACGGCTCAGCTCTGCGAAGCACCCAGCCCCGTGCTTGCAGTCTGTCCCACAGAGGGCTGCTGTCATTTTCATCGTCCAAAGCAGCTCCCTGAGCCCCAGCAGGCTCTCCCCAGCCTCTCCCCTCCTTGTCAGCCCCGAGCAGCCGATACTCTGTGCTCGCACCATGTATTTCCCTGTTTGCTATTTCATATAAATAGAATCCTTCTGCACATGGCTACTTTCACTTAGCAAAATGTTCCCAGGGCTCATCCATCTCGTGCCATTACTACTTTATTTCTTTTTGTTGTCAGAAACATCCCGTGGTGTTGACGTACCAGCCGCCCGCGGATGGACTTTGCGGTTGCTCCTCCTTTCTTCTTCTGTGAATAATGCTGCTGTGAACCTTTGTGTAGGGGTTTGTGTGGACATACGTCTTCAGGTCTCTTGAGCATGCCTAGGGTTGGAATTGCTGGGTCATAAGCTGTGTTCAGGCAGCTGAGGTTTTCCAAAGTGGCTGCATTATTTTCCAGTCACACCCACTACATACCAAGGTTTCCAATTTTTCTGCATTTTTGCCAGCACTTGTTTGGATGCTTGTTTCCTGCAGTATTAGATATTGAACTCTGGGCTTTCCCACTGAGTCACATCCCCAGCTTTTTAAAATTTTTTATTTTGAGACAGGGTCTCACCAAGTTGCCCAAGCTGGGTTCAAACTTGCAACCTTCCTGCCTCAGCCTCGCATAGTGCTGGGACTACCGGTGTGTGCCACCACGCCTGGTTTATTGTGTCTCTTAAATTTTATTTCTTCTTTAATTTAAAAATACTTCGTTATTTATACACATGGATGGCCACACACACTCACTTACAAGGGAAAGCCGCCCACAGTCCCGTCCTGCGTCTCCCTCCTTAGTCTAAGTGCTATTCCCAGGAAATCATTTTTCCTTTTGTTGTTTTTTTGCTTTCTAGTGGCCACCATCATAGTTTCAAAGATCTCTTGGTTCACTTATTATTAGTTTTCCTTTCAATTTTATTATGAAAACTTAAATACATATAAAAGCAGAGTAGTGCCGTCAACCCCACGTATCCATTTCCATCTGCAGCTAAAACCATCAACTTAGGATCTCTCACCAACGGTTTTGTCTTCATCAACTTTTCATATTACATATTTATTTCCCTACTTAAAAATGAGAGACTACTGCACTTGGACTACTGCTTCCTTTCCTTTCTTTCTCTCTTTCTCTCTCTCTTTCTTTCTCTCTTTCTTTCTTTCTCTCTTGAGACAGCATTTCACTGTTTAGGCTGGTCTTGAACCTCTTGGACACAAGCATTCGCCTGCCTCAGCCTCTGGAGTAGCTGGGATGGCATTCATGTGTCATCACATCCCACTTCCCTTTCAAATGTTTTGCCTTAAATATTTTTTAGTTCTTTTACCTCTGTAGCTTTGAGTCCTAAATCTCTTGCCCTAGACATTTCCTCAACTCTAGGCAGTGTTCTCAGACCAACCCTTTCCCCAGGGAAGTTGGGGAAATCGCCCCTCTCTCTGCTCTGCCTGACCTCTCTGCCCTGTCCCTTTTATGTTGTCGGATGGGAAGGATTTATAGTCTGCCCTTGATGATAATTAAGGCTTGTGTGTCCTGTGTATCAGTTTCCAAGGCTTGAGAACCAAGAGGCTTGGCATGATGATGACTTTGAGTATCGGTCTCTGCAGAGGAGACACCTACCGAATGCAGAGTACTCATTTGTTTCCCCAGTGGGAGGGGAATGTTCTAGCATCCAGTTGGTACCTTTCAACCGAAACACACGTGAGCAGGACTCAGAGACAGTCCGCAAGCTCGCCTGCCATTTGCCTCTGTGTGGCCTCGTGTTCTTTCACCAGCTTGTGTATCATGTTCCCAAGAGGGAGGTCCTGAGGAAGAGGTGGGCTTGTTCCCAAGCCGTTTCTATCCCCTCTGTGAATTAACTTGGTTTCCCTAAAGGTTGCAAACTACAACTTCATTAGCCAGGGAAACATACCCAATGCTGTGAAACACTGCCATTAGATTTTATGTATACTTTATTTTATAATGAGTTATAAATATATAAATATTTTTAAAATAAAGCCATTAAAATTCATAAATTAAAATACTGAGCGTCCACACTCTAAATATTTCTTCTGCATAATCCTTTTTAGATTTTCCAAGAAGTCTTTCAGCGTCGTCTGCTTGAGTTCACTCACTGGACAGTTCTACAAAAGAAACTGGAGTTAGCTCAGGCCAGGAGACCCTGTGTCTCGCTGTCACCGGCCTGCGGGGTCCCGCGCACTGTGGCTCTGGCTAGGGCTCCGGTCTGGCGTGACCGGGAGCCTGCGGCCACAGGGCCGGCAGGATTAGCCTGGGGCCTGGTGCGTGCGCCCTGGGGCTGCACCACACCCCCGTCTGCCTTCGGGGCCCCCGAGCTGGAGATGCCACACGCCCTGGGCTGTGGGTCGCTTCTCTCTCAGCAGAGCGCAGGCTTCCCTCACCCCCCTCCTGTCGCCTGTCTCCCCGGCTTCTCCCAACACCCCCGGACAGTCTTTCAGCCCTGCCTGTCCTGCGGCCAGCCAAACCGAGGGGCCGCTGTCAGGCTCGTCCGACCTCGCGGGACCCTTCACAGAGACCCCCTCCCTCCTTGCGGGGTTCCTCACTGGCCTTCGGGGCCCCGGCCCATGCTCCCCGGCCCGGCCGCGCTGGCTCCGGCTCCGGCCCGGCTGCCCTCCTCTCGCTCTCCTGCACTTGACGCGGCCCGTGAACCGACCCCAGTTCACCTCGCAGGTCCGGCCTCTCCCAGGCTACTTCTGCCCGCACCCCGGCCTGGGCGCGCAGCGGCCCTCCCCTCCCCGGGGTGCGGCCGGCCGGGCTGGCCCGAGCGCCCCGCGTGTCCGCAGAGCTGAGCGGTCGTCCGCGCGGCCTCCAGCCCTGCTGGCGCGGGCTCCCGTCCGTGAAAGCAGCCGCCGCCCCGAAGGGTTCGGGCAGGGACCTGCGGGCGCCTCGTCCCCGTCTCGCCTGGCCCCGGCCTGTCCGCCCTGGCCCGCTCCTCGCCGGGCGCTGCCTCTGCCCTGCCCCAGACGGTGCTGCCCCAGGGCCTGCGTGGGCCAAGCCGCTGACACTTGCTCTGAGCCGCCCGGCTGAGACCCTCCAGCGCCCTCCGCCCCGGCCCGCAGCTCGCCTCCGGCTTTTCCAACTCTAGAGCTCTGCCCAGAGCCGCCGCGCGGTCCCTCCGCCTCGGAGCGGCGCGGCGTGGAGGGTCCCACACCTCGAGGGACGATCGCGAGCTAGGCTGCTGCCTGTCCGTCTCTCCGTCCGTCCGTCTATCCTTCCATCTGTCCCAGCCCAGTCCGACAGCCTAACGCGGAGCAGCTTACCTGCCGCACCGTGCTCCTGAGGTTCCTGTAGACTCTCTTCAGGAGGGTGAGGAAGAGCGACTCCCTGTCTCCGTTCGAGCAGGACAGCCCCGCGCCGAGGTAGGACGTGCGGTGCAGCACCGTCGAGGCCCCGCACAGCCTGGCCTGCACCGTGCCCTGCGGGGAGAAACGCCAGAGACCGTGTGCGGCCTGCTGGGCCGGGCAGCGCCGTCCCCTCCCGACTGCTGCTTCCCAGCGCGACCCCGGGAAGGCTGAGCGTGCGGATCTACTCTCCCCAAGAAACCCGCAGCAGGCGGGGAGGCTGCCCGGCCTCGGCTGTGGCCTCTGGCAGTGACTCGGAGACGCGCCCCCTCCTCCGCAGGGCCTCCTGGCTCCTCTTCCGGGCGGGTGCGGTGGAAGGGAGTACAGCCAGCCAGCCCCGCACGCCGCAGCAGGGGCAGCTCTCAGGGAGCCTGGAGAAGGCTGTGTCTTCTCGTTCTCCACTGACAAGCACAGCGCCGAGCCTGGAGAGGGGTCTTAGCTTGACCCCAGTTTCACGATCCAGGTCAGATAGAGGAGCCGTCCTAGCCTTTGCCGGGACCTCCGAGGCCCTCGCTACTCAGAGTGGCCATGGACCAGCCTGCGGCAGGGGTGTCGCGGCAGCTCATTAGAAAAGCAGCTCTCGGACCTCTGAGTAAGGGTGTGTGGGATGCAGTCCCTCCCCTCCCTGGGGACTGACCTGAGGAGCCCTGTTTCAGCATATTTTCTCTGAATTATAACATTATGCATATTTACCAAGAAAGAACTCACACATCCCACCAGCCAGAGAGAATTACTGTTCATATTTTGATAAATATCTTTCCAGGTTTTAAAAATATTCCCCACTCCAAACTAAGGACTAATTGTTACTATGGTTTTGTGACCTTTTCACATTTGACATGGCCTGCTAGCATTTCCTGAAATCAAGAACATGGGATGGCCAGGCAAGGTGGAACACTCCTGTCATCCCAGTACTCGGGAGGCTGAGGCAGGAGGATCATTGTGAGTTCAAGGCCAGCCTGGACTACATACTGAACTCAAGGTCAGCCTGAACTGCATAGTGAGACCCTGTCTCAAAAAGAAAGAAAGGAAGGAAGGAAGGAAGAAAGGAAGGAAGGAAGGGAAATGGGATGGAGCTGCTGAGAAATGGGTTTCTCATTTGCACTGTAATTGTCCCACCTTCTGTTGTAGTGGTTTTTTCCTCCTGTAAAAAATGCAGCTGTGAGTAATCTCTGTGACCCCCTCTTATTTCTGCAGACTGGATTTGGAAATGTAGATCGTATGTTAAGGATTTTCAGGAAGCCGTAGACTCAGAACCCGGGCTGCAGCTGCTCCTCCCTTCCCCCTGTGGGGCTGGCGTTCCAGGCAGGGCCTCTGCAAGGACGCCGACTTAGGGAGCCCAGGTCACTTCTGGTCCCAGGCCGAGCTGGAAGTGTGACCGTGGGCTGTGTGCTTTGTGGGTGGACAGCGAGCGTGAGGACAGTGGGGCGACCCTGCGTGCCCATGGTAGCTCGGGCCCTTGCTGCCACGGGTGCACAGGAGATTCGAGAAGGCCCGAGTAGCGCCCCTTTGTATTTCCCGTGGAATCCTAGTGAGATTTTCCTGCAGCTTCGGCTTGAAGCCTAGAAATTGAAATGCTTGTTGGTTTTAACCGGGACATAGCCACATCATACAGGGAGAAAACCTCTAAAGATGTTTTTCAAAGGATTTGCCAAGGGGAATTAGGATACCCTTGGAATTGAAAAGTCTGCCTCAGATGGCAAGAATTTAAAGAGCTCCTTCCAAAGGCAGTTTTGGTTAAAGGCCCGGGAACTTAGCTCCACTGGCTTTGCTGGCAGAGGAAGACCCTTTGTGCCACCCAGGCTTCTGGACGCTCTGTCCCATCTGCCTGGGGCCTCAGTGGACCCGGCCACAGCCCAGGGAGAAGCCTGAGACGGCCCTCGGACGGCACAGCTCAGAGCTGCTCGGGAAGAGCAAGGTGATCCTGGTCCCGCGATGGCGAAGCCATTAGAGCTTTCAACCTTACAAACAGCCGCTGTGGCATGGGGGCCGCAGGCTCACTGTCACTACGGACCCAGGCCGCCCGCAAAGGAAGTGTGTCTCTCACACAGACATCAGGAACTGGCACAGTGGCAGTAACTTAGCGTTCTGACGGGGTTCTCAACTACCCTCACTTAGGTCTGTGGACAGTTAGTCCTATCAGTATTGTATTTGTTATCTCCAGTCCTGCCCAACTGAGTCAGTCAGAGCTATAGATGAGAAAAAAGACAAAAACCAAGACCAATATTTGGAGCCGGGAGTAGGGGTACTATAATCTCACTACTTAGGAGGCCGAGGCAGGAGCATCCCAAGTCCAAGGCCAGCTGGGCAACTGAGCGAGACTGTGTCTCTCAAAATAGAATGACAAGGGCTGGGCATGTAGCTCAGTGCTCCTGGGTTCAGCCTCCAGGACTGCCACACACACCCACACACACCCACACACACCCCCACACACACACACTTTAAGTTCAGTACGGCGCTCCCTGAAGAATCGTGGGCTTGCCCTCCTCCAGGCTTTCCTCACACAGCTTGGTTTCTTTTGTACCCAGGCAGGTGTGGGCCTCTGAAGCCTAGGATAGAGCGGTATTTCTTTCCAGCGAAGCCAAGACCAGGACGCTACCCAGCCTGGAAAAGCCGGAATTCTCCATCCTCGGAGAAAATGAATGTGCTGGGTTTGGAAGGATGCTCCCCTCTGCGACCCAAAGAAGCAGCTTTGCCTCCCACACACCACCTCTGCGGACCTTGGAGAGCAGCAGCGTCCCCTGTCCGGATGCCCTAAAGGGCACAGGCGGCGCTGAGCCTGAGGGGCGGGGCGGCAGAGCAGGGTGCGGAGCAAGCTGACTGGGGCGGGGACAGGACCAGGCGAGCGAGGGAAGGCGGGAGCGGGTTCTAGGCTGCGAGGTGGGGGAAGGGGACAGGGCCCTGTGGAACCGCCCGGAGGGGCTGCCCAGCTTGGAGTCCGGAGGGTTCGATCATTTCCTTCCTAGGCTCAGTGCTGCTCTGCACCCAGCCTGCGCCCTTAATCAGGATTATACCATCTGACATGAACACTTTCCACTAACTCAAGAGCTAGATTCCAATCAGCCCTCAAAACACCTTCACAGTCACTTTCCTATATTCAGGCGGGGAAACCGAGGCTGGAGGGGGCAGAGAGACTGCCGAACACCACCCAGCAAGCTAATGCAGACCTAGAGCTGCCTCACTGCGGGCCTCAGCACCTCGTCCGGGCCTGGTCTCTACACACGGGTCCCTTGCCTGGACCTTGGCCTCGGAGAGCCCAGGCCCGGCCCCGGGACTTGGCTGCTAGAAGCATCACCGGGGTTGGAAGGACTGTGAGCCTTTATGTGTACAAAGCACCACAGAACGTTCTGTGTGAAAAACAGTCCTGGAAAGATCCTCCGTGAGGTGGGGTTGTCTGGATAAAGGCTGAAGGGAGCTTTCCTCATGAAGAGGGGCAGGCCCTGTTGGTGGCCTGGCTCTGGCGCGCGGCCCACCCGATCCTGGCCCAGCCGCCCCTCCAGTGCACATGGGAAGCGGGTGGTTAGGAGACCACTGGTAAGGTGAGGCTTTGGGGCTTTCATTCTCAGCTGTGTTTCCATGAAAACAGGAACTGAAGTGCACGGAGCTATTGATACGGCTGTAGTCATGTGTTTGTCAGAGAAAACGCACTATCAGCTGTCACATCTATCTCCTCCCACTGCAGATGGAGGGCGGGGGTGAGACAGGAGCACAGAGGCGATGCCCAGGCGGCCAGAAGCAGGGATGAGTTGGACTCTGCCCCGCAGGGCAGCTCCAGACCGAGGCGGAGGGGACTCAGGCGGCACAGCACAGCCAAGGTCTGGGAAGCCAGCGGGATGCCCGCGTGTGCCAGGTGACCAGCGGGGAAGAGGAGGGCTCTGTGATACCCTTTCTGCTGCCGTAGGCAGTTTCTTAGACAAAGTGAAAGCTCCTTCGACCTATAATCTCAATATCTGTTTTTGTGAGAGTATTTGGGTTTTCAGAAATGCATGGGCCAAAGAAATCCTTCCACTCATCAGGCACTTAGTGAGTGCCCCCTACGTGCCAGGGCTCATGCCACAGCCAGGCGTAGGGTGAGACAAGAGGCTCACACACACACACACAGTAGCCCCCAAGAAATTTTTCCCTGACTAGATCGTAATCAGGGTCACAGAATCCAGGCCTTCTCTAATCTACCCTCTAAATCACACGAAACCAGAAACACCGAAACAAGCATGAAAAAGAAAGCTGAGAACTCTCATTGCACAAAAACTCCTAACACCTTTCGGGCTCACTTGGGCCCGCTCGTTGTCCGTTAAAATTTCTTGTTCCAACGCCTGAGGGTCCCTTCCCCTCCCAAGTCGCCCACCTGCCGGAGTAGACTTGGGGGGCAGCTTCTTACCTTGGGGTCAGCGAAGACGTCTGCGACAGCCAGCTCGGCACAGGGGGTCTTGGCAGAGGCAGGAGGAACAGAGCGAGAGACGGAGTTAACCTCCAAGTGGACACAAACCCCAGCGAGGCAGCTTTCGCTCCCTCGGACTGACACACATCCCACCGTCCCTAGAAGGAAGTCAAGTCATCCTCCCACCACTGCGAGCGAGCCCCCTCGCAGCTCTGTCCTCTCCACGGGCCAGGACTGCCCAGAGCCTCCCCAGGACCTCTGGAGAGATGGTGCCAGATAGGCATTTACCTTTTCCCTTGAGAGCGTGTCCAGGTCCTGGATGATTTCTTGCAAGGGATAGTGGTTGCACCCGCGGGCCAAGGTGCCGGCGCATGCTAGGAGGCAGAACAGACTGACCATCAGCTGGGGCGCCAGACCCATCAATAGATCTCTTTTGGCAGTGACAACGTGGGACAATTAGTTTATCAGGGGAAGCTAACAATGCAATTCTGACAAAGATATCTCTATATATAGATTTAAAATTGCTGAAACCAAAGGAAAATTAGTTTACATTGGAAATTTTCGTTACACCAGATTGTCAGTCATTTGGGGCCAATCAGTGCCTCTCTTCCAGGAGAAAAAATGCCTCACCAAAACAGGTTAAATGTTCCTGTGAAATCAGACCAAGAGGAAAATGAAACCTTTTTTTAAAATTAACTACAAAGTTTCAGCATAGGAAATTACACCATAATTTGCTCTTTAGATTAATCTTATCAGCTTGGGGTTGGTGCTGTCTTTTTGCTTTGCATAGAAGGAAGAGGCCACAGGTGTCCGAGTTTGTGTTAGTGCAGTCCTCCTGGGGAAAGACAGAGTAATATCAAGAAAGTGACTTGCATGGTATTGCAACCTGGCTTCTTCCAGGTACGGGGCAGGCGGGGGCATCTGGAAACTCTCCTGTCATGGGAAAGCTGATCTGAGGCCCTTCTCTGGGGGCGAGGAGGGTCATGGGCACCGACCACTCCTGTCCTCACGTGGGGCCTTGCTGTTCTTGCAAGTCGAGGTCTTTAGGGAGGGACAGGTACCAGCAGGTGGCCCGGTCTGGGTCCTAAGGGGGCCTTGGGCAAAGCTGGAGCCTGTCTGTCCCAGGGCTTCAGGAATGACCGCTTTTTAAATAGAACTTCAGCGGGGCGTGGTGGCGCACGCCTGTAATCCCAGCACTCGGGAGGCTGAGGCAGGAGGATCATTGTGAATTTGAGACCAGCCTGGGCTACAAAGTGAGCTCAAGTTCAGCCTGAACTGCTCGTGAGACCCTGTCTCAAAAAGACAAAAAAAAAAAAAAAAAAAAAATAGAACTTCAACACGGCCTCCGCTAATTAGAAGAAGGAGCCACGCGCTTCCCCGTTTACCACTGGGTCAGTCCTCTCTGTCCGTGCCCGCCTACCCGTCAGGCTGCTTTAATCCGTCCCTGGTGGCTGCGGTGGGCCCTGAAGCCCCTGCTCCGTGCGCCCTCGGCAGCGAGCGTGTCTGGGGCTGCCGTGTGCCCTGAGTTTTCCCGCAGCCTTTTCTGTCCTGGTCCCTGGCTCTGGGTTCTGGCTCTTCTGTCCACTGACTTTCTCCAGAAGATCATGTAGAAATGTCTGCTCCTAGGTGATGTGTTTTGTATCTTTTTTCTTAATGTTACATTATTGACAGCAGGGGTGTATAATTATAAAATGGACAGGTTTTGGAATGGCCAAAGCAAGCTAATTAACAAATGCCTAGCCGGGGATGTAGTTCAGCGGCAGAGCGCCTGCCTGGCAAACGCAAGGTCCTGAGTTCAATTTCCGGTACCAAAACATAAACAAACAAAAAAACAAAAAACAAATGCCTTATTTATTTGTGGTGAGGTCACTTAAGCCACTCTGTCATTTTTATGGATACAGTGTTTTCCTGTTAAAGGTGCTACCGTGTTCTAGGCCTCTCAGCTCACTTCTCTAACTGGAACATTGTATCCTCTGACCAACATCAACCTGCTTCCCCCTCCCCCCTCCTGGTGATTACCATTCTAGTCTATGCAGCTGCAAATTCAGCTTTTTTATTTTTTACTTTTTTTACTTTTTTTTTTTTGTATTTTTTGAGACAGGGTCTCGATATGTAGTTCAGGTTGGCTTTGAACTCACTATGTAACCCAGGCTAGCCTTGAATTCACAGCAGCCCTCCTGCCTCAGCCTCCCAAGTGCTGGAATTACAAGCATGCCTGGCGAATTCAGCCTTTTTATATTCCACAAGTAAGGGACATTGTGTGGTATTTGTCCTGTGTGTGGCTTATTCCTCTTAGCACGCTGTCCTCCAGGTTTACCAGTGTGTCACAAGTGTATATAGCTGTGCATCCCCCTGGGAAGCAGAGAATCTGGACAGTGGTGGCCCCTGCACCGTGTTCAGGACCCTTCCCTTGAGGCTGTGCCAAGCTTAATGTGCTGACTTGTGACACCTGCTATCGGGTTTGGACAAACCTCACAGGTACGGGGCACTGCCTGCCCTGGATACCAGCTGCAGATTCAGGGGTCTCCCCTTTTGCTCCTGACCAGCCAGTCACAAGTACTGGGGCTGCTGCCACCCTCCTGTGATTGGCTAGAGTAACTCAGAGAAGTCAGGCAGGTGCATGTGAGGTCGCAGTGCCTCCAGAAGACAAAATATCCGGTAGAACCAGCCCGAAAAGGCGCGGAGGGCGGATCCCGCTCCGAGCCTCCGCTGTGGTCCCGCAGGCAGGCACATGCCCACGGAAGCCGCAGCATTTCCAAAGCCTTGAGTCCTTCTTGGAGCCTCTGCACGCAACTGTGGTTGACAGGACGTGGCCACTCGCAGGCCGGGCCCACCCAGAGGCCTGGCAGACACCGCAGAGCTCAGCGGCCCGGCCGGCTCCCGCCTCACTCATCTTGGCGGCAAAATCTCTCTAGCGGCCAGCCGGCTCCCGCCTCACTCATCTTGGCGGCAAAATCTCTCTAGCGGCCACAGAGAGCCATTCGACCAATGAAAGGCAACAGAGCCTGCCATGAGTAACAAAGACGTTCAACGGAAACCAGCCGAATTTGAAGGGTTTGTGCACCTGGGCCAGGAGCAAGGCCGGACCTCTGGCCTGTCTCTGTCTGTCTGTCTGTCTGTCTCCCAATTCTCTCTCTTTCTCCCTCACCCCCTCCCCTTTGGTACCGAGCATTAAACCCAGGGCCTTGCACAGCTGCACACGCTGGGCACGTGATTCGCCATCTGCGTGTGTCCCGGCCGTTTTTACTCTACCTTGAGACAGGTACCTTCCTCCTTTCCCCGCCCGGCTTCAAACTCGCAGCAAGGACAGGAGGCTGGTGGAGGAGCCCGCCGAGCAGGCCCTGGAGGGGCCAGGCGTGCTGGAAGGAGCCGGGTTCCCCAGGGTCTGAGCCACGCCGGCTGTGTGTTCAGCAGGACTCCTCTGAGCACCACTCAGGCCGGGACCAAGGGCCTGAGGACAGCAGATCAGAAGAGGGGGAATGTGCAACCCGATAGCTCAGGATCAGAACAAGGCGAGTCCGGTTTGTTTCAGTGGTTGAATGAGGCCAGGAAGAGGAGAACTTCCTGGAACATCGGAAGTGACCATGAAGAAGAAAATGGGCCACCCCGGCCCACAGAGCTGCGGTAGGGAGGTGGTGGTGGCCACACAAGGTGGTTGTTGGGCTGCTGGGCACAGAGGAGAACGGGGGACCGCATCGCGAAGGCACCCCTGGCCCTCTAGGAGTTGTGGGCGGTGGCTGCGGGGGCAGGTGGGCGCAGAGGTGGGGAGGAGGTGCAGACGCGCTGGGCTCCGACCGGTCTGTCCCAGACCCCTCCCCATGCTGGGTGAGAGCTGAGCGCCAGCGCCGGGCCCTCCGCAGCCTGGAGCGGTGCCCCTCGGCCCCGGAGTGTGGCATCCGCCGTGGAGTCCTCCACACAAGCCGCCTGTCTGCTCTGGCCTTGGGCTGCCCGCGCTCCGGGCGTCTCCTCCAGGGCTCCCCGGGGAGCGAGGGAGTCCTCGCGGAGTGCAGGCTCCTGTCACTTCACGAAGGCTGCTGTCACCCGAGGCCGCCGGCACCTCAGTTAGGAGAGGGGACTGCGGACCCGCCGCGTCGGCCTGGCTGCTCTGCGACCTCCCTGTGACCGGGGGCACGGCCCCCCTGAGCACAGTGACGGCCCCTTCTCTCCCCAGGCTGAGAACAGACGAGCTTAGAGCTGCGCCCAGCACGCGGCGTCAGCGCCACTGACAACGCTGTCGTCGTTGTTATGGTTCCTGCTACCCTTTTGTTGGCTGAGCATCTGCGGCGCTTCGCATGCGGCAAACCGAAGTCCGGGCGGGGCGGCGGGGTCCTGCTGATGCGCCTGCCCGTCAACCCACCCCAGCGTCTCCTCCTCGGGTCCGGTCCGCCCCTGTGCCACCGCCCTGCGGCTCACCGTGTTCCTGCGTCTGCTGCCTGGGCGGTTTAGGCAGAGGGGGCCGTGGGCGCTTCTGCCTCTGGGGCTGACGGAGCGGGCGGCACTGGGCCGGGACACTCGGCCCCCCCGGGGCTTGTTTGGTGGCACTGCCCATCCCCGGAGGCTGCCCGCTGGCTCCCCACACCTGCAAAACTGAGCAGGAGGAAACCTCATCTCCCCATGGCCCGGAGGAACGGGAAGGTGGTGTGGGCCAAGGCCGCCTCGTGCAGCGCATCGGAGAAGCCGCTTCACCCCCAGACCCCAGGGGCTGCGAGGCGCTGCTGGGACCCTTCAGGCCTTCAGTCTCAGAAGGGAAGGAGCCAGGACCCGGGCGAGCAGAGCCGTAGGTCGGATCCCGCTGACTTCGTGCCTGGCCGGCCTTCGGGGACCCTGCTCTCCCCGCCTCCCTCGCACAGGAAGAGTCCTGTGCTGCTGCTCACAGCCGCAGGGAGCGGCGTCCTCTGCGGGGCGGGGCTGTGCGGAGACTGGGATGGGTGCGCTTGGCGGGGGGCGGGCTGCAGGGTGGGACTGGGTCCCGCAGGGCAGCGAGGGCGGCTGGAAGCAGGGTCAGGCCCCAGGGGAGCAAAGCTGGGCGTGGGCAGCGGGGGCCCACGTGGGTGGGAGAGCAGAAGCAACCTGTGGAGCTGAGTCCCTCTGCCCGCGCCAGTGTCAGGGTCAAGGCCTGCAGTCCACGAGGCCTGACACCACTCTCTGTGTGACCGTGGGAAAATGACTCTGTCGAGGCATCTCTAAAACTGGGCCAATCGCCAGGCATGGTGGTGCACCCCTGAAATCCCAGCACTCAGGAGGCTGAGGCAGGAGGATCACTGAGAGTTCAAGGTCAGCCTGCACTACAAGGGAGACCCTGTCTCAAAAAACCAAAAAGAAAAAAAGAAATGGCTCCTTAGAGGGGCAGGAGGTGGGTTGGGAAAAATGAGTGGTCGCAGCTCTGAGCTGGAGGGAGACTGGACAGGAGTGACTGAGCCAGGCGCATTGCTGCGGGGTGGAGGAGACGAGACATGACCAGAGCCTTTCTCCCCGGCCGCGCCCAGGCACGCGAGCTTCTCCGGAAGAGGACAGTGGTCAGCTATCGCCGGGCCGCAGCAGCGAGCGAGAGGAGGCCGCCCGCTGGCTGGACGGAGCGATGAGAGATAAGGGGTGACCGCAGCACGTGGTGTCCGTGCTGCTTCTGGGGCTGGATGGCCGAGGCCTGGGAGCTACTTCGGAACTGTTCGGAATTTTCTGAGATAAAACGTTCTATTTTCTGTGGGGCCATCTGTAAGGGGAGAGCACTTGCCTCTCCAGTACAAGGCCTGGTTCGAACCTCAGCACACAAAACCCAACCCTGCCATGGATAGTAAAGTATTTATTGTTTATATACACTTGATGCCTTTTGGCCTGTATATTAAGAGCTGTAATTTATATGTTACACAAATCTGTGCACACAGGAGACACCCCGTCTGCACGCCCGTGTTCTTCACACCTCTCCAGGATCGGCTGCCTCACCCAGCTCCGCCGGGGCCACCACTGGCCCCCACCGTCACCTGTCCCTGCCCGGTGCCCCACTGTCCTCCCGCACCGCAGCCTCGGGGCCAACCGCCCGGTGTGCGAGGCCCGGCGACTCCTGCGCCCTCCTCTGCCCGGCGCGGGCCCAGGGTCTCCGAGCGCAGGAGGCGTCTGCAGCCGGCTTCACCCGCACTTCCACCCTGCGGGAGCTTCTCCTCCTGTGTGCGAGCGGCTCCTCTTCCTCGCCCACGCCTCGGCTGGCATGCTGTGCCCGGGCGAGGGTCTCTTGGGGCCCCTGGCCGCCTGCCTCCGTGCAGCACGCAGGGCCCCACGCGTCACATGTGATCTCCAGCACCCACAGGGGCAGCCAGCTCCTCGTAGGTCTCCGTGAACTCCGGGCGGAGGAAGGAATGGAGCGGCAGTACCCAGAGGGACTTGAGGGCAGGGCTAACCGTACCCTGAAGTACGGAGCCCCTGGCAGCACATTCTGCCCGTGTCCCTAGGAGGGCACAGGGCAGGGACCTGCTGAGGGCCGAGTGGCTGTGCGGGCAGCTGGCATCTCGCCACGGCCCGGCCCTGCGGTCCCCACCCACAGGCCGGACAGACTGCCCCCAGCGGGCCAGGGCCAGGGCCAGGAGGAGACCCCAGAGCAGCGCACCCCTCTGCTGGCGCAGCAGGGTCCGAGGAGGAGGGGCCTCTGCCCGACGCCCTGCCCGGCTTTCCCTGGGCCCCGCTGAGCCCTTCACCCGTCCCTGCGCCGCCAGGCAGCTTCCTCCAAGGGCCAGGCATCATCTTCACGTGTTTTTCATTTTTTGAAGTTTAAATTTGTCTCTGTTCCCTGTGGGGAAGTGAATGTATGCGCCTTATAGAAATGTGGGGAATGGAAATGGGAGGAAAGTGGGATGTCGCCCTTCCTGACGTGCCGTCCCAGCAGGGCCTCGCGGGGGGACGTCGGGGGAGCAGGGCGCCGTGGATCTTTGGGCGGGGGGTCACTGGGCCGCAGGGAGGCAGGTGCGGGGGACACGGTGGCCGCTGGGCCCTCCCTCCCCGAGTTTCAGGAAGGCGGCGCAGCCTCACACGCCTGTCCAGTGACGAGAGTTGCTATATTTAATTCCGGGGCCTGCGT